CTTTACCTGAGCTCCACAAGTAACTATGGTCTTGATAAATGTGATCAGAATGGTTAATGTTTTGAAAAAAATTGAGAGAGATTTCGGAATGAGAAATGAAATATCTTTGAGTTACGAGATGGGAAGAGATCTCACCTGGATGGAAGGGAGCGATTCAACGAGATGGGAGTTCCTTTTGGCCCTCAAAAAAAGAGAAATAGATAGATTCATCGAGGATTTTATGGAGGGATCTTTCCCTCCCTTTTCACTCATTCTCTCCCATCTGCTTGCTCTGGTTTTTTTTCTTCTTGTTCTCACGGGAAACTCCTCGAGGACCTTTTATATTTGGAAGGGGGGAAAAAAAGAAGTCCCTTCCACCAGTTAGCTCTCCTTTTTTTTCATCTCTTCTTTTTTTCCAAACACAAATTTCCCACTTTGTCACTGAGAGATTCCCCCGGATTCATTCCAAAATTATCTTATAAGTATCCCCCGCAGATCAACTTTGGGGATCAACTTTTTAGATGAACTAAAGATCCTGTATTCCACTCAATTTAAAAGTACACAACTTTTTCGGTTGGCAAAATATTTCAACGTTCAAACACCTCATTGTTTAGTATTGTATTCATTTTACCAAACTTGTACTTCTTTGATTTGATTTCAAATTGGTTCCATTAAAATTCGAGTTTAGCTTCTGAAACCAAATCGGAAATAATTCAGAGAATTTGAAAGAATACAGCAATGTCTGAACAACTACTTTCAGTTGGAACAACAACTAGTCGAACAACTACTTTGAGTTGAGTATCAAGCCGATCGAATTTTCACTCGATATCAATCTTTTTGTTGAACATTCAGAACATTCCAAATACTTCAAAGTTTCCCCCTCACATTCATTGATCTGTAAATGAAAACTTTCTCGACTTTTCAGCTTCTTTCCCTTTTCGTCATTTCCCCACTCTTAAATGCAAAATTTGATAGCCGGAAAGATATCGAAGAAAACAAATTTTGAAATCGATGGGAAATACAGATACATATTTTTTCTTATTTTTTTGATTTTTATTCTTTCATAAAGGTGGAGTTTTAAATAGGAAAATCAAATTAAAATGAGCCTTTGATTAGGGGTGATACAGATGAGAACAGCAATAGCACAGGTTAAAGTTTAAACAAATAAAAAAGAGCTTTTTGTGATTGAGGGAAAGAACTAGTTCAACGTCAGTGTCAGTTCAACACTTTCCATTTGAAAGTTGTTTAATCCAAAAATCCCATTTCAGCAGCTTGTTACGTAGAAGTTGTCTTCATCGTGAGATCTTCATGTCTTCGATCGATCAATTGTCGACCGTTTTTAGAGAAATTTCAACAAAACATGTGGATACAATGTTGATCGTGAGTTGTTTATCTGGTAATTCTGTTTATCTGTTTATCTATTTAACATGTAAAAACTCATCTAATCTTAGAGCTTTATAATTTACTCACTTTTGCATCTTTTTTCCTTAATTTTCTAATGATTGTTTACTTCAAATCAATCTCTCCCCTTAAAATATTATTTGGAAAACTAAAAGACTTTCTTTAAAACAGCATCAAAAGTTAACATTAATATAATAATAATAATAATATCACTAAAAAGTTAAGCAGATTCCTGGTTTTTATTACAATTTGCGCGAAAAATTTCATTTCCATTTTTGTCAGAACGGGTTCATCACTGTTCGACTCAGTTCACAATGTTGCGACAACTTCGACACATTTTTGATCGTGACAGTTGCATTTGTTATGAAGCACTTAAAAACTTTTTACAGATTCCTTTACAAGTTATTACAATTCTATTAGTATTATTATAGCATAATATTAATTGTTAAATTTTATTATAGCTTTAAAGAAAATACTTTAGTTTTTCAAATAATATTTTTTTTAAAAGTTGTCTTTTGTAGAACAAGTAGTCACAAAGAATTTTACAAACTCTTTTGCAGATATTATTGATTGATTGTTCTTTAATGATTACTTTTGAAATCTCAGGCAGTCAAGCACAATCTGAATGGTTTCCACTGGTTATTGTACAGTAATCCGTGTGAGAAACGATTGCCAGATATGGGTGAAGAGAGAAGAATCAATCGACCTGATGAATATTATCATTATGGTGAGAAACAGTCAGGTGGCATTATCAAAGGAAAAATCATTAAAGGATTAGCAAAAGAAGAGAAAAGAATAATTGTGGTGAATGAGAATGGCGGGACTGAAGCATCAACGCAAAAGAGGACAACACGATCAATGATACAAGAAAAGGATAAAGAACATCGAAAAAGACAACTGCCTGGAGGTGAGGGGAAATGGGAAATCATTGTCTGATGAGAGATGAGTCTAGATTTGGAGACGAAAGCCGCTATCAAGAAGTTGACACGCAATGAGGCACTGTATGAGGTTTGGAGAGCTAATACTGAATGGATCGTTTCTAAAATTTTACAGACTTATGTAATTAAAGAGGTTCTATCTTTTTTTGGGATTTTGAGCATCAAAATAGGTTTGTATTAAAGAAAGTGTCCAAATTGCGACTTCAGCATCAGAGCAGTTTTCGGTGCTCGCCTTTGCGCTCTTTATAAAATCCACTAAAATAACTACTTTCAAGAACTTCCTGCAGGAAGCCATTTTGCAGAGTAAAAAATTAAAGTTTTAAATTGGTTTTGTTGGTTTTGTTTGATTTAACTACTGCATATTAGAATGCTAGGTTTATAGGTGTGTTCTCGACATGTCTCTTGCAAACAACTCTGGCGCCTCCTTCGGTAGAATTGCGATGCTGATGGAGAGAATAATTGTCGAATGCAACAAAGTTGTAGGATACTGTAGCTTTAGTGACTTTATGTGTGGTTCTTTTCTTTCTATAAACTTTTTTCTAAACTCCCGTACTCGGATTTAGGGATCTTGCTGGCAATCATTCGAGGGTCTCACATGCCTGGGTCTTGGATCGTGTCATTGCAATGGAAATCATTCGGATTGTCATTGGATATCTCCACATACAAATTACAACAAATGCATAATATGCGTGTGGAGTTTCGAATAAAGCAAACAGAGAATTCTTGGGATCTAGATGAGATCCCACAGAGTGATGAGTTTGCGGTTTTTGTTGGAGCTGAGGGGGAGACCCGGCCCACCCATCAAGTAACATTCTTTGAGAGAAAATCCTCGTTACAAGTCAATTTTGGTTTGTTCAAGATCAATATCTTATATGAACCTATAAATTTGACAAAGAAATATTTCTTGATTTCAGCCCCCTGGCCCCAATCCTCCCCGTCAGCCCACCACGAAAGGGACTCAGCTCAGAAGATGGACCGCCCACAACCACAAGTTGATGTTCCTCCTCCATGAAGAAAGAACCGATACACCACTGTGCAGAATGTTCAAAGTCCAGGGATCAAGATAACTTATGCAAAAATAACTATTCAGACAATCTCGTACAGTTGGTCTTGGCAGGTACAAAATACAATTGACAAGAGTGTTGCTGACGGATCCAACAACATCGACGACGACAACGACTACTAGTTCACAACAACAGAACAACAACAACAACAACGACTATGACTACAACAATGAGAACAACAACAACGACAAATTGTCTGACGACAACGACAAACAACAATGGCACCAGCTTTTACTCTGTGCCAGTCAAGCACTGATTCAGAACTTAAATAGCTTGTTAAACCTAAAATCTTCAGCCAATTCCGACAAATATTAGCTTCACCAATTATCCGTCCTGTCAACACGATTCCTCGGTCTGTCTTTTTTGGAAAAACTGCCCTGATTTTTATTCTTTCTAGAGTCCATCCCCAGCCGACTGTTCAAGAAGTTATGAAAGATTCCCGGGGGTACCAACAATAACAATCATGATCGAACGAGAACGACTGCATCGACAAATGTTCGTCCCATTCTTCTAGTTACCAGACTTTCATCCAGACAAAGTTTCAGATTGACATAAAAGTCTCAAAAATCGTGGGAAAGAGATGAACAGGATGAGAGTGCAGTGGATGACAACAACTCCAAAATTTCCTGATGGACCTCGACAAACAAGCTCTGTCGAGTTTCGACCACAGGAACGATTGCCGCGTGGGTGATTGGGAATCTTTTGTGAGACTGGTTTCGTTTAAAGTTATGACATCGACATATATTATTTATTAGCTTGAATCTTTTCAAATCTCCTGAAATTGAATCTCGTTGAGAATTTTGACTCTTGTCTATTCTTGAATCCAGTAGACAGAAACCGGGAAGTAGAGAAAGAAGCATATTTGGGGAATCACTTGCCAAAAAAGCCAAGACCTAAGCTTTGGGTGGTGCGCTCTTTGGGCTTTTCTTTGGCAAGAACTCATCATCATTTCCGTGAGGGAGGCCACTCCCATCCATCGCCCATTCCCTTTGTCTACTCCCACCTTTTCCCCTCATTCTCCGCACTCCTCCCATTCCTCCACTCAGAATCCTCTTTTCAAAAGTTCCTACCTTTGGAGCGGCATTATCTTCCAAAAAATGAACACTCTCTGTGTAACGTATTCTTTGCAAGTTTTTTCACTGATCATTTCCTGATTTTCACCGTCGCAAAAGTCACAAGGTATTTACTGATTTAATAATGAAATCTAGGATTTGATTTGATAATGATAAATTAAGTCCGATTTAGATCCACACCCAAAAAAATCGGACATGGGGACAGATTTTTACACATAAGCATTTTAATGAAGTTCATATGGGTGTAAGCATTCACAAGTTTCAAAGTCTCCAAACAATCATTTGTGGGTTCTTCATGTCCGGATGCGATGCAACGCTGTGAAGTCGAGTTATGATGTGTTCTGATTTTTAAGGCTCGTGGCTGAGTTGAGTGTTCGGTGCGTCATCTGACACTTCAAAGAGACAGGAATGTCTGATGGTATGTGTAGAATAATAATTGTAACTGAATCTGTTTTTTTCCAGAGAAAGCAAGCCATCATCTGCTTTGACTAATACATAAGATCAAGTTGTTCTTTAGGCTCACAACAGATCTGGTTCATATGTTAATGGCCACTCTCCGAGCGCTCCTATGTTTTGTCATTGTGTGGCACAATGATGAGCGATGTCTTCAACAACAGGTACCTCATTAAATACTGTACTGACAAGAGATTGCACAATTAATACAAAACAAATTGGAATTCTCAAAAAAAATTTTTCGAGTCCTTTAAATGTTATAAAAGCCCAATTGCTTTAGACTTCTTAGCTTTTTAGCAAAAAAATTTCCTTAAAAGCCCCAGGTATTAGCTAAGAAGAGAAAAACGGGGTCTTTTCCACTCAAAAAACTTCTTATCCATCTTTTTTCCTTTCTTTCTTTCACATAACCGCCACTTTACTCCATTGATTCTCGGTTTTACTCTAAAGTGAAAGAAAAGGGTCAAATATTTCCTTTCCTAGGTTCATAAAGGAGAATTTTTCATTTTTCCGGGAAAAACTTTAACAAAAACAAATTTGTAATATGCTTTAACAAGCCTTTTACAAAGATTTTTGTACAGAAATCTTGTAAAATAGGGATTAGTTTGAGATTTTACGATTTAAATTAAATTTAAACTTTAAATAACAGTAAACAGATTAAATTTGTCTAATAGTTTATGGGTTTAAAATCAAATACAATTTATGAATCAAAGCCTAAACATCAGGAGTTGTTCAATTCACTAGTAATACAGTACTGGACAATGAAATATCATATTTGAAAAAAAGATCGTCACTTTCGCGCGTCTGTAACTCCTTTGTCTTTGAGCTTAAACTACTAGTGTTATACATTTTCTGAAAGCTCTTTTCATGGGCTACACAATGGTAATATTAATATTTAGAAATACGGTAAAGACAAGGAAGTTACAGACGCGCGAAAGTGACGATCGTTTTTCAAATATGATATTTCATTGTCCAGTAGTGTATCTCTAGGGCAAGCTAATCAATTCGAAAAGGTTGACAATTGTCTTTCAATGTTTAGATTCTGCCAAGAAGTTCAAGAAGTTTAACAAAAAATATAGAACTTTTCTAGTCGACCTTTTCTTTTAGTGGCTCAAAAAGTTTTTCCCTTTATTATTTTGCCCACTCAACCGCAAATTGCCAATTTTGGAGTTTCTTTAGCCCTAAAAATTTTCGTTTCCAAGCTGTGTTCAAATTTTTTGATTGAAATCTTTTTCATCTCAAAAAGTTCGTCTTTGCAAAATAACACAACCATTTTTAGGGGTGAAGATTTGTTTATGTTTGTTGGCACTAAATTTTTCACAATGTCGAGTGTTATGAAAAAAAAAGAAAAGAAGGGGAAAAACGGGTCTTTGTTGTTGGAAAGGACAAAAAAAAGTGCACTCGGAAATGTTGAAGAGATAAAAAAGGGAAATATTTAGAAATCGGAAATATTTCATTCAAAATGAAAGAAATGATTGCATTTTATTTAACAACATCAAAATTGGGTATTGAAACACTTCAAATTCAAAGGCATTTACAGCTTCGATTCAAAGCTGAAGATAAAGCCAGTTGCGCAAACTTTTCAATGCTGTCAAATCTTAGAAAAATCTTATAAAACCCAATGTCGGAAACTCAAACTCACGCCGACAACACTCGACATTGTGAAATGTCGAGTGTTATGAAGTTTTGAGCCGTTTGAGCCGACAACCTTCACCAAACTTCAATTTAAAATCTTATAAATCTTATTAAAACTTACCTACAATGTTACCAGTTTTTTTTGAGCTAATTTCTTCTAGTATCTTCTAGTATCTTAAAATCTACAAAGAAAACAGTCAGACAAGTCAGACAAAACAAAATAAAAACGTTTCTTATAAGAATATTTGCGCAACTGACTTTATCTTCACCTTTGAATCGAAGCTGTAAATGCCTTTGAATTTGAAGTGTTGCAATACCCAATTTTGACCCAATTTTGATCCAATTTTGATTCAATTTTGATTCAATTTTAAAACATAGACCTTGTTGTTTTTCTATCAATTTATAAATATCGAAACATTTGAGAGTCTTTTCTACCCGAAATGCTTGTATATGCCGGCGGAAACCCCACGAACTTGTTCACAATTGGTTATCGAGTGTTCGATGTCTGTTCGCTGCAAGTATGCTCATGAAAAATCAATCAATAACTTTCTTAATAACTTAAAAACAATCAATTCTATTGTAAGTGCTGTATGACGAAAGATTTGAGCCAATTGCGCACGTCAATCGCGAGTGTTTGTCCGGTTACAAAAGGCATTTGCGCAACGGATAATTTAGATCATTGCAGGTGCGTTCAAGAGATTGAATATAGTTCTTAAATTTTGTTTTTTTGTTTTTTTTTGGGATTTATTAGATTATTAGAAAGATATACATAGAACGATATACAGAAAGATATACAGAAAGATATACAGAAAGATATACAGAAAGATATACGGAAAGATATACAGAAAGATATACAGAAAGATATACATAGAAAGGTATACATAGAAAGATATACATAGAAAGATATACAGATTATTAGAAAGATATCTTAGATTTTCCTAATGACAATTTCCATTTCATTTCATTTACCATTTCATTTCAGACAAACCCTTCTCTATTCCCGTGGTTCACTTCTCGAAGCTCACATGCTTTTGTGCAATCCTGATATTGAATGTTTGAAGCATCAAAACGCAATGATACCTAACAATCCCTGTATAGGTGAGGAAAGTTTTTGAGTTTTCCATAGATTAGAAGAAGATTTTCATTTTTCTAGAAAAAGCGATGATGGATTATTCGAAATTGATGGGATACATGTCACCATCAAATAAAATGTACACAGAAACAAATCGAGTGATTGTGCAAGAAAAAGAGGAAAGAAATCTACAGGTAAATGGGGAAATGAAGGTTTTAAAAGAAATTTCTGAGTTTTAGGTTGAATTTGAAATGGCGAGGAGACGAAATGAAACAAATCGACAAGTAAAATTGAAACCGACAAAGGGTTCGTCTTTAAGAATCAAACAGATTTGTTTAACGGTTAAAGTTAGAAAGAAATCAGTAAGAATGGGGAATCTCGATTAAATTTCATTTTAGCACCACCGAGAACCACAGCAAAAGTGATGAGTAAAGAAGAGGAAGAAGAAGAAGAAAAAGAAGAAGAAGAAGAAGAAGAAGAAGAAGAAATGGCCGTACAAAAACCACCAACACAACATCCACACAGGTTTGATTAAAGAGATAAACGCTCTTGTTTAAAATACTTTCTAAAAGTTGGAAGCTTTCGAAATCTACCGTAATCTTGTCTAATCTAGAAGCAATTTTTTTTTGGGAAAGAAACCAAAAAAGGACAAATTCAACTTTTCAGAAAAGCCCCTAAAACCACACCCGCTTTGGAGCTGTTTGAGGAGATTTATGTGACAAAAGCCGATACTCAACTTGATCCAACGAATATCGATTGGATAAAAAATAAGCATAATGTAAGGAAAATATAGAAGACAATCAAATAAAATGTTTAGCTCTGGAAACCAATCGTGCAAGAAAAAGAAGAAGAGAAACGAGAAAATGAAATGAATGATCGGGAAAAGGAAAGAGAAAAACAACGATTGAGAACACAACAAAGATTGGAACAGATGAGAGCGAATGAAAATAAGGTGAGGAGGAGGAGAAGGAGCAAGTATTCAGTCATAGGCTACCGTAAAGTCTCCTTTTGACTCTCCAATATCTCATTTATTTTTTCCGAGCAGGTGGCAGCTCTAAAGCGATGTTTACTGTAACTAAACGTTCAGCCTATGAACCTTCTTTAGATGCTAACATTGATCGTTAATCCATCCGGGTTATGGTAACATTTATAGCAGAGACGGGTTATGGTAGTGAGACGCGATTTAGAGCGGTATTCTGTACTTTAGGCTAGTCGGTGCTCGGGAAAAATTACAAGTTACTGTACAAAGCCAAGAGACTAGAACTTACTTATGTCTCTTGGCTAGAGCAAGCTCTAGTCTTACTCTAGCCAAGAGTAAGCTCTAGTCTTGCTTCAGCCAAGAGTAAGCTCTAGTCTTACTCTAGCCAAGAGTAAGCTCTAGTCTTACTCTAGCCAAGAGTAAGCCTCTAGTCTTACCTAGCCAAGAGTAACCTGTCTAAACGTCTTATCAGCCAAGAGTAAGCTCTAGTCTTACTCTAGCCAAGAGTAAGCCCTAGTCTCACTCTAGCTAAGAGTAAGCTCTAGTCTTACTCCCAGCCAAGAGTAAGCTCTAGTCTTACTCTAGCCAAGAGTAAGCTCTAGAGCTTACCCGATTTAAATAATCCATCTAGATACAGAATAAAAGTTCTAGAAGAAAGCTCAAAATGAGGAGATCGATCGGAAGAAAAAAGACGATGAGGAGCGAGAATTCGATGGACACTTTTCTCAAGCAGAAATCAGGTTCAATTCTTGAGTGCTTAAAGCTTTTCTAAAAAATATTTAGACAAAGATAAACGAGTGAAAGAAAAAGGAGAACCAGTGAAAAGGAAATGATGATGAAGAGGTTGTTGTCAAGGATGCTGAGTCAGTAAAAAGATTTAATTTTAAATCTCGGAAACTTTCCAGAAAACTTCAAAAAACGATCGTTCGCCAGAAATCTCAACGATCCACCACAGCGGCGCCAATACTCAACCATCTATTCACGGTGAGTTTTTTCGTTTCCCGATTTAGTTCTTCGATTGGATGCCCGAAGAAATGTTGTCTAATGTCTAAAGCTCTAATTTTAGTAAAGATAAGAATTAGGAAAAGATTTTCTTCGATTTAAATGATAAAAATGAAAATTCAGAGCTCTGGGAAATGCCTCCATGGGTCTCATCAACTGCAACAACTCAACCGGAAACCCACCGAATACATGACAATAGCTCCGCCCGTTAATGAAGGTGATATAAAATCGATTTTTTATTATAGATATAAATATATTTCTGCAACGTTTAAACAAAGATTTATTGGAAGAAATTTCAGATAAATGCTCGATAAAGGACGCGAATGGAAAAGAGCTTTATGTGCACGTTGGATCGATTATAAGAGTTAGCTATTACCGTATTTTTCGAATAGAAGACCGGGTAAAGAGTATCATCATGCTTAAAAGTGATTTTCAATGTCTAAAAAAAGATTAAGCTTTTATTGAAAGCCTTTTTGTATAAGCTTTTATTGAAAGCTTTCAGAGAAATCTCGATTGGGCTGGTCGGTGTTCATCGTGGTGTGAATGCGTGAATGTCGAGGAAATGATTTGTGAGCGATTACCGTGTCACGCGGATATCCCATGCGAGGCACCATTGACAAATATGGGTCTGAAAGAAGAGCCAAAATCAATAGATTTCGATTTGTAGATTTCGGTGAACGGCTTTATCTACAAGGACGAGGGGCATGCATGTGTGAGAGTGGAGTTTTTGTGAGTTTACACAAAGCTTTTTTTTTACTTTAAACTGGTTACCGTAAATACTGCAATAGTCCCCCCCCCCCATAATGACGGTGCGGAGTGTTGCGTAGTCTAGCTTTGAACGAGTTTTTCTCGACACTGGTCTATGCTACAATGCGCGCTTAGGTATCAAAAAATAGCCCTGAATTTCAGCCATTTTTGATACCAAAGACACATTTTTTGAAAGTACGGGCGCTTTGAAAAAAATGAAATACTAAAAAACTTTTGCGACTACGCGACTGTACGAGAGGGCTGGGGTACTATTACAGTATTTACGGTATGTATTAAAGCTAGAAAAGCTATTTAAAGCTATTTACGGTATCTATTAAAGCTAGAAATCATTTTCAAAACTTCAATATAGGTATGCGATACTCCGGAACAATTGCCGGAACTTCAATCGGGTCTTTATATTCTTGCAGGATATTCATTGGCCGATCTTGAGATGCTTCGGAAGGAAATACCGCAAGAGGTTTGTTTAAATCAAAGAAATTTCAATTCTTGTAAATATTTTTAAGCTTTTAAAAAAATGACAATAACATTTTAGGTATTGAGTCGAGCTGGTCTTCTTTCAACAGACGTCGGTAAAGATATCGCATCACAATTACAATGGGCATTGGAAAGAAGATTGCCTGAGGTGAAATGATTTAATTAACATCAGTTAATTAACAATTTCTTTTCAGGAAATGAAGTGTCGAATCGTTATGTTAGAAAAGTATTCGTATGATGGAAATGCTTTTTATCAAATCGAATATTTTGGGAATAATATTTTCCAAAATGATACAAGAAATATTTGGAGATCTGATGGAATGGAGAAGGTGAGTGAGGGGAAATCATTAAGAAATTGTCTGAGTTCGAGTTCCCATTGGTAGACTCAATAAAATGAATAGCGCCAATTGATTTCCTGATCCGGAAAACCACAGGGTACAAATTTACAAGAAAATATCTCTTTTATACCATCTATAAAGCAAAAGAGAAATCTCTGTGTTTGTGTTCTTTGTGCGCGTGCACAATCGCTCGCTTTCTGGCACACGCTCCAGATAGATAGGTTTGCCTCTTATGAGCTAAAATCATTTTGCCACCTGCAATGACTTCTCGAATTCAGATGTGCTCTCCATACGTGCGTCAATTGGTCGAGGGATTTGCACTGAATGAAAGCCCGCGTTTCCAATTGATTCTTTCATCCGTCAGACAGTTGAGATTGGTGGATTTGTTGGACGGTTTGCCGGCAATCAATTCATCATCATCTTCCCATATTTTCCTTCTTTCTTTAGTGACTCTTTTTTGTGTCAGAATTTCTATAATTTGAAAGCAACTATCAATGCAACAAACTTCTCTAGTCTATTCAAAATTTTTATGGGTATCATCAGGTTATCCGCCTTCTTTTTTCCAAAGGAAAACCACCCGTCGATCAAGTTTGCGTTTTCTAAAAACGTGTCAAAAGTTTGACTCTAGTTTTACTCAATCTACCTCTATTTTGTCTGCTTCTATGAAAGTCTAAAGCATGGCCCAGCTACCGTAACCTAGATCTATATGATTTGATCTTTGGCTTGTCTTTGACTGGTTACAGTAATCTTTACGAACTATTTGGGTTACTGTAACATCCGGTTACAGATTACGGTAGACTGAGTGATGCTTTAAAGCCCCTACCCGAGTCTACATTCAAAAAGCTTTCGAATACCTAAATTAGAAAAATTTAAGGCAGGATTACGGTAGTTTTTGGGAAATTTAGAAAACGACACTTTAGAAAAGCCAATGCAATAGCCAATTAAACAAAATGACTGAAAAGACTGAATGCTCCTTGCCAATTCAAACCAAACACATTCCCCTTTCATTTTACAATTTCTTTTTCATTTTCTTTTTAATCCAAAATTCAAATCAATTTCACTTATATTATGTGAGGAAACCGAGTGCGACGATTTTCAAGTTTTCTAGTCATTTTCCCCTTTTTTGTTGCCATAGATTATTGTGATTCTTTACTGCCATTTGTGCCTTTTTTTCCCTTTGCATTTGGCCTAATCATAGATCATTTGTTGTTAACATTTGAGAGAAATAGAAAAGGAAAAAGTATATTCATTGAGTAATAAAGAGTAGAATTCTTAAAAATAAATACAGTGAAGAAGCTTTGATCGAGAAAGTTTTTAGAAGTTTTTAGTCGTTTCAACATTTCAGAGCAAAATCAGAGCCGGTTTTTTTTGTCCAATATCGGTCTAATATAGCAAATTATGAGCCAAACTGCAAAATGTTTTCGATTTGCTGATTTTCGATCGGATTAACACTGGCTTGATATACTTGCTTCTAAAGAAAACTTTTTCAAGGAGGATTCGAAGTATGATCAGAATTTTGACTGTCACATTACCCACTGGGCCATCGAGAGACCTACTGTTACAGTATATTCTTTTCTGTTCTTATAACAGCCACAGCGAGTTCTCAGATCCACTAGATCTAGGTTTATCATCGGATACAGGACTTATTCTATACATTAAATCGGATCTTATTTAAAAATCCATCTTGACTATTGTTAGGTTATTCCGGTCACTGGTTTCTTTAGCTTAACTTATTGTTAATAGCTTTTGTTTGCTTGCTTTGTTAATAGCTGTTAATAGCTTTGTTAATAGCTGTTAATAGCTGTTAATAGCTGTTAATAGCTGTTAATAGCTGTTAATAGCTGTTAATAGCTTTTGGCTTTCAAATGAATTTGACTCAGCTGTTTAAACCCGTAAATTGCTAAGCTAAACAAATTGCTCTATGTTAATCTTTCCCTAGCAGGAGTTTCCTCAAAGTTCACCATTTCAAAGCTTGACATGTCGAGAGGTATTCGGAGAAAGTCTCGATTGACTGAAAATGCGGGGATCTCTTCTAGATCCCTTTGTGAAGGAAAGAAGAATGACCGGTGAGTGAGGAGTGGTCTATTCGGGGGATAATTATCTCTTTTCTCTTCATCCAATCCATCTAAAACCATTCTCTTGTTACCAGAATCCTCTTCTCAATTGTCTCTTTTTCCTTTTTTCAATTCGATCGGTTTCTTCATCTCATGAAACCTTTTCTTCTTCTTCTTCTTCTTTTTTCAGGTTTTACCCCATTTGAATCTCCTTTTCAACTACATATTCTTCAATAACTAGCTCTACCGTACTCTATTCTTTATTCTAAAAGGAGAATTCTTGATTCGAAATAATCTGAAATGATTCTGAACTCCTAAATATTTTAATCATGTTTCCTTTTATCAATTTCCTCACTTTGATTTTATTTTACGAGATTGTTGCCGAGGAAAGTGGTCAGTTTTGGCTTTCAAATGAATTTGACTCAGCTCTTTAAACCCGTAAATTGCTAAACTAAACAAATTGCTCTACCGTATGCCAATCTGTCTCATGTTAGGTATTTGGGTTTCACTATCACTGAATTTCTTAAGATTAAGGCTCTAATGGTAATTGATACTAGCGCACATATTACCAACCCAAGCACTTTTCTCTAATCCGCTTTCCCTTTAAGATCTATGTTTCGGCAAGAACACGACCACTTTCCTTCGCTCAGAAGGTATGCAATTAGTCGAATTTCCCATTGAAACAATCGACAACTCGACCCTCAATCAATGCGCTGAGGCTTGTATTAAAAAAGCAAGGTTTTTTTGAATCAGAAATGAATAAAAGCAATGAATTTCCCTAGAGTTCTCCATGCGCTTCATTCATCTATGATCCAATGAAACAGAAATGTTCACTTCATGAAGTAAACGGGCAACCATTTGTTGAGGGTAAAACATGATTCCTTCTCAATGCCAAATCCTCAGGCGCCTCAATTCTTGCTCGAGCAACCCATGGCACCTCGACATCATTCTTTCAACACATTTGTGTTCAGAGTTTGTTTAACTTTCAACTAAATTTCTTAGAGGACATAACATTTAAACTATCTTTATCTTTATCTTTCTTATATTTAGAAGAAGCTCTTTGTTCAACTCCATATGCTTTCGAGCGCTATCCGCAACAAGTTCTATTCGGTCATGCAATGGAGGTGATTGGAAAAGATTGGAAAAGAAAATTGTAGTGATTATTGTTGTTTCAGATATAATCTTTATTACAGAAATAATAGTTGATTCAGTGGTTTGATTGGGGAGAGTAGAGACACTCCACGGTACATACGGCAGCTCGTTCACATTGCTTTTATACGGAACTCAGGCGTTCGTCTCGTCTTGTACACAATGGAGTTGAACGGATAGCGACGCATATTAAATCTCGCATAATAGGCGTTCGTCCACATAGATGTCTAGCTGGCCATTTCCATAGTGTGGCTATCTCGATCACGAGATCGTCACCACAAAAATATTCTGTAAAATCTAGATTCAACTCATTTCTTGTTACATCTAGAGCTCATATGAATAAAAGAATTTCGAATAAATGAACTGAAATTCTTTTATCTTAAAAACAAATTGCATATAGGTTCAACAAACGGGCGGTCTCTCAGAATGTCTCTCGATTTGTCTCACATCCGATAGTCTTCTCAATGTGCCTTGTCGATCGGGTGAGTCAAATGGAAATCCATCTTTCAGAACTTAAAAGAATAAGTATTAAGTAGAAGCTTGAGGGTAATTTCACAAATTCTATAGAAATTTGCAGTGATGTACTACTACGAGACGGGTGAATGCATTATGAATCGAGAGACTCGCGGAGATCATCCAGATCTTTTCGTCTCCGCTCCACACGATGCAATTGTCGATTATTTTGAGAACAATTGTCACAATGGTTTGGACAATAACTTTAAAGGAAATGAGTAATTTTAGCTGAATGCCAAGACGGATCAACTGTGCATTGGATTCGATCCGAGGAATTTCAAATCTCTCCTCAAAAAGATGTGATCGTCGAGGCGGAGAGTCAAGAGGAATGTCGACAAATCTGCAATGTAATTGGATTTCAAGTTTTTGAGGAATTCTATTTTTTTCAGCAAAACCAAGTCGCTGGCGAGAAATTCCCGTGTCGGGGTTTCGTCTATTCATCCACGCAAAAAGAGTGTCATTTGTCGGCGGAAAGTGGCTTCAATCGAAGAGTGAAACAAGGGGATTTGAGTCCGATCAATGGTGGAGAATATTATGAGAAAAATTGTTTACAATGTGAGTGATTGGAAAGTGTTGTTATGGATGTTTTCAAGGCTAAATCAGTCAAGTCAAGAAGCTAGTCCTGACCAGAGATGTTTCCCTGACCAGAGAACCCTAGGGCAAACCATGCCAGGTCAGCTGGTAGTTTTCTCGGCCTTGTTTTGACTAATAAAGTTAAAACTTCTTTAGAAAACCTTGGAATATATTGCAGTTTTTTACATTTTACAAAAAAACTAAAAAACCAAGGCTGGGTGATGAACCTGGGAATCGAACCCGGCTCGTGTGAGCTGTAGACAACTGCGCTCCTGACTGCACCACGGCGACAACAGTCCTGAGCAAGAAAAACTGGATGTTAGCCGGGTTTTTCGGCTGATTTGGAATAAAATTGGGAATTTTTCAGCCGATTTGCTATGCGGAGAAGCGGCTTTCGAACAAGTGGCGAATAAACGCTTGAACGGATCATCATTCGTTGAAAGATCACCATCGGTTCGACGATGTCTTGAACATTGTTTGAAGCAAGGCGACAAATGTGCATCGATTTCTTACGATTACGATAAGGTTTCTCATTTATCCATAATTCTTAATGAATCTTTCTAGGAAGAGTGCTGGTCGAGTCCCGACTCTCGTCTCACTCAACCCGATCAATATGACACTGTGGAGAATGTCGATTATTTTGATAAAGTTTGCGATAATGTCCCCAATCCAAAAGGGAAATCGAAACGGGGATATCACGGTAAAAAGTCATCTTTCAATTTTAGCACAAAAGTTCTAGGAATAGCGACAGATGTGCGGAATGACGAAGATCCACCAGTCACACCGACTCCACTCCCAGATTTGGATGATGATGGAAAGATCAAATACCCACATCATTCCCAATTCTTTCACTTAATCTAAGTCGACATCGGACACGACTATTTGAGGCATCAACTTTCCCTAAACTTATTGAAACGAGTGAGGAAACGAATGAGGAAACGAATGAGGAAACGATTCATTATGACGATCATGTAAGGATTATTTGAATTATTTAAATAATAGTATATAGAAAATCAATAAAAACATCTATACGTCAACGATTTCATCTGAGGAGTTCACAAATACGATGAATGTACTTGACGATCTTGAGCCAAGTCGAGAATTTGTAGCGGCAGATGATCCGAATGCTGTGAAAACAAGTAACAACTCTAGCTTTTGAATCCGATAATAGACTATAGACGTAAAAGTTGAAGCCAGATGATAAATTATTGGATAATCTGTAAATTGATCGAACTTTGAGAACAATTTGCAGAGCTTCGAACCGAGTGTCGTCTCTCGGAGATCAGCGTCTCGCTTACATTCAATCGACCCACATCTGGCGCTATTTTCATAAAGGTTTGACAAAACTTTGTACTAAAGTATTTCTTCTGATTGGAAATCTGATTTTTGATCTATAAAGATCTTTACATTTACTTCAGAAAATTCCAGGATCACTTCTCAACTTGCCGTTTTGAATTTCCGAGAAAACGACTATGCTGTTTTATCAATTCCCTATCCGAATCGAGATGATGAAAATCCGAAATGTCCTGGATTTGAATTGGTATTTATCCATCCAATCTATTATCAATCAATTATCAATCAATCCAACATTTTAATCCCCATTCTTAGGAGCCAGACATTTGGTCATTTGTGGTCGTTGTTCAAAAGAATCAAATGGAAGTTCCATCTTTGATGACAGCCGCCGACAAAACATTCAATGTCACCTGTGATTACTCCAATGTCGATTGGCATTCATCCGACGCGTACGTTCTTATCACTATCGTAGAACTAAAGTGTGTTTTCTCAAAAAAGTGTCAACTTTGAAAGCTATTTTAATCTTGACTTAAATTCCATCCCGCAAACTCCTGATACCTCAATTGAATCACTTGCCCCTTAAACCAAGATTTTCTCATCAGTCAACAATTCAGAGCAGCAACCACAGCCGCTTCCTCGAGTTCGGATCTTCCTGATGATCTCATTGATGTCAGCGGAGAGTTTGTCTGCTCAAAAAATCTTTTTCAATCAATTTCTATAGAGATTCAACTCTATACACATCAACACGAGGCACTCCATCCGAGAAAATCCGAATGTTGATCCTGAAAGACGGACAAACTGTTTCCGCTGTGCAATTGGGGGAACTTGTAGAATTGAAATTGGGTGAACAGATTTTGAGAGGAATATCATTAAAAAGATCTACAGGAAATCACTGATCGTCGTCAAGGAGTCGGGTATTTTGTGAGTGATTGGTGGCAGAGAGGATGGGCGGCCTTCCACCATCACCACAACCATTGTCCATCATTCAACACGGGTTTGTGATTCCAGAGACAGACCAGCTCAAGATCGAGATTAAAAGCCGTAGCTTTTAGATGAAAATTGATATACTAAAATATATTTTAAAGCTCTAGAATTGCATCTAAATTTAGCTGTCCTGATTCAAAAGTGGTGAATCGTTTGATGGAGGGGATTGTCGAGCAACTACCTGATGGATTTAGTGCAAAGATGAGGGTAATTAGGGGGAAAGAGAGGAAAGTGTTCTGGTAACTCATTAGCCTAACAAATTAACTCATTAGCTAACTCATTAGCCTAACAAATTTTACTTACTAATTTACACTTACATTTATATTACTAAATTTTACAGGTATTTCGTTTTGATGGATCAAGAAGGGTTCGTTTAAGATGCACGATTGATGTTTGTGTTGATGAATGTCCACCGGTAATTCGGAAATCTGGGAAAAATCAAGTTGTTTGTCATTTTCAGGTTGAATGTGACGGTTTCGATTCGGAAATAAAAAGTTACGGGAAAAGAAAGAAAAGACAAACGATGGGTGAATTGTCGACGATGATGAGAAGGTTGAAACCGAATTTTCGATTGGATGACACGACGATGAAAACGACGACTACGGTAAAGAGGGTTGAGATGATTGCGTTCAGCTCGTTGCTGTGTTGTTGCTGAAAAATCGTATCAGTTATCAGTACTCGATAACTTGTTGAACTTTGTTAACTTTTGGTTAGTGAACATTTGATACGCCCCCTTCTCATTAGGAATCTAACTTTGAGCTTAAATATCTTGGTGTTGGGGTGTTCAATTTAAATATACTTGATATCATTGAACGCGCCAGGTCTTTCTCTGTCGATTGATACAAAAGCTAGTTAAATTGAACAGCCCAACACCAAGAAATTTGAGCTCAAAGTTGAATTGTTAATGGGAAAGGGGGTGGGGTTTTCAATTTTTTCTACAATCTTTAAATTCTTATTAATTATTAAATTCTATCTTATCCTGATTAGAGCCGATTAGGCGGGAAAAGCGAAAACAGGATATTTGTGTAAAATTATAACCTTACTCTTTTTAAAAAGTCAATTTTCAACACAATTCACAATACACAAAAATGAGGATGTAAGTGTAAATTTGTACCCTAAAGTCGCGAGTATAAGTTCTGTTTGGTTTTCGCATGCAAATTGACGGCTGTCTCCGGTAGAAGTAAATTTATGGAGGGTTATAGCAATTTTATGCTGTTATTTGTTGCTTCGGGCGTGGCTCGGCGCGTCCGCCCTGCTCCTCTCCGATGCTCAGTCTTATGGATCCCTCCCTGGCCTCTTCATCCGGCCAAAGTCCACGTCGACGGTCGAAAGAGATGCTTTCCAGCGTCTTCTTCAACACTATCGTCTGGATGTATCCATGCACATAACAAATAGCAATGGTGATAGGCTGTCACCCTGTAGTATCCCGCGCTCCAAGAACAATAATATAAAAGTTTATATAACAATAAAAATGTATAAAAACTCAACAAAAAGAAATTCAAAGCAATTAAAGCGAATGTAAATTAAGGCAGAACTTATACTCGGATGAACTTATACTCGAGACTTTAGGGTAAGTAAAATTTGTTTAGCCTAATAAGTTGCCAAAACTCTTTCCCCCCGTATTTACCTTCATCTTTGCACTGAATCCATCAGGTAGTTGCTCGACAATCCCCTCCATCAAACGATTCACCACTTTTGAATCGGGACAGCTAAATTTAGATGCAACTCTAGAGCTTTCAAATGTACTTTAGTATATCAATTTTCATCTAAAAGCTACGGCTTTTAATCCCGATCTTGAGCTGGTCTGTCTCTGGAATCACAAACCCGTGTTGAATGATGAACAATGTGATGGTTTCGATTCGGAAATAAAAAGCTTAAAGTGGAAAAAGCATCAAAAAAAGCAAAAATGTTCTTCACATTGACTCCAAATTCTCCAATTTTAATAGAAAATTTGAAAGATATTTTAGTATTTTAGAAAAATGTTAACTATAAGTCCGGGAGCGCGACCATAAATTTACTTTCCTTATCAAGATTTTGTTATTTAGTTCTAACATATTATATACTGCAATAGTACCCCAGCCCCATAATGACGGTGCGGAGTGTTGCGTAGTCTAGCTTTGAACGACTTTTTCTCGACACTAGTTTATGCTACAATGCGCGTTTAGGTATCAAAAAATAGCTGAAATTCAGGGCTATTTTTTGATACCAAAGACACATTTTTGAAAGTACGGGCGCTTTGAAAAAATGAAATACTAAAAACTTTTGCGACTACGCGACTGTACGAGGGGGTGTGGTACTATTACAGTATTTACGGTATGTATTTATGTAAGAGTTTTCCTGAGGAAATCACTGTAGATTTTCAAAGCTGCTCTATTTTCAGAGAGTGCCCAAATTCACGGAAATGATGATGGTCGAAGAAGAGAAACGAAAAACCACGAACACAATAACAGGGATCTTGACTGTGATCGATCCACCATTGTATGATGAAGATGGAAATCCCCAACAAGCACATTCACCTAATAATCAACCATGTAATTTACCAAGTGATTTCTCAAAAATCAGTATTTCCCAGTGTTTCTATCGGGATCTCATCAAGTGATTTGCGTGTTTCGCCCGATTTTCATCTCCGTTTCACTTCTTCTTTTCCTATTATTCATCATTCAAACACTCATCATTGGGAGATTTGTGTCTCGACACATTTTACAAAGAACAGGTACGAAAAATTTTGTCTTAATGAAAAAACTAGTCTTTGAATGAATGAATTGAAAATATTGAAAATAACAATAATTAGAATGAGAAAGGAATAAACTTTTGAAGAAGCAAATAAAATAAAAGCAAAGAAATAAAGCGAATAAAATAAAAGCAAATAAAGCGAACATAAATTATACGATAAATCATTAAATATGGAATCATTTTTATGTATAATATTTATTAAATAAACAAGTTTAAAGTTTAAATGCTTTTAAGCTCAACTATTGCTATTTTCGCTAAATTTTGTTAAATTGCTAAATCCCCTTTATCGGCTACGGAAAACGGTGATTTTCGGCTATTTTCGGCGATTTTTGAGCAATTTTTGAGCTTTTAAGCTTTTAAGCTTGTTTTGTATATAATTTCAGAAGAATCTCTTTATGGAAGCTCAACCTCGTGTAATCGTTCCTCGCAAAGTGGTCTTTTGATTGGAGACACGGATTCGACACGGAGTATCTCACCGCTTGTTTTCCCGAAAACCCCGCAAATTCAACCACCGCCGAGACCTGGTATTAATTGGGAAAATTCCAATCCGAACCTAATTCCATCTCCATTTTCTCAGCCATCTCTTGGTCAATTGCTACAAGCAGAAAATCCCAATTTCTATTTCTAAACAAAATTTCAGAAAAATTGGCCAAGAAACGGCTGAGAAAGAGTGCTAAATATTTTCTTCTCAAGCAATACGCTTTCGAAAAGATAGGGAATTGTGAAGCGAACGTAATCTTTAGATCTTTGACTCACAATTAGCAGAATGAAGACTTGGTAGCTTCACAAATGATTCACCTTTTAGAAAACGTTTCTACTGTAATCCATTTTTATTCTATGCTAACTTTAGCCGATAACCATGCCCAGTTTCAGCAAAGCGTCGACTCGATTGTCTCGATGAGCGTTTCCTGAATATCCCTTCTTCATCACCATTCCCCCCTCGTCCTCCACTTCCTTTACATACAGATATTCATGGTTACACTGTGCCAATTAGACCAAGGTTTTTGAATTTATCGAATTCGATAAGAAAACTATTTTAGGCATTCCTGGGAACTCGACTCAAGTTTATAGAAGATTTGCAATAAAGATTTGAGATTTATTTGACTTTTTTTACACTGTCAGCAATCAAAACTGATTACAAGAGTGTACTAAATACAGAAAACAAAAAGATTAATGTTTTTAAATGAATCCAGAAAAGAATCCGGATTTCCCGATTGGCATCGTGTTTTTTTTGTGAGATTCAATAAGAAACAGGAAATGGAAAGATGGATCGGAAAAGAGAGATCGAACTTCTTTCAAAAGGATGAGATTTTCGGGATGGATATTATTGGAAAATAAAAGGAAAGAAGCGGAAACAGGTCCTCCATTCATTTACTCTCCTCTCCCCGCCACTCATTTCAGCCACATCATGCTCATCTCTGGCTTCTTCATTTTATAACCTTGTTTTCTCATTTAATAATACTGTTTTCAAAAGTAAAGTGTGTTCCTTTTGACTTTGAACTTTTTAAAAGAAATATTTTAGAAAATGAATTCTTTTCTATTTATGCTATCATTTCTGTTGATGCTTTCAATTGTTTGTGGAAGAGCCATTCTCGATGATGCAATTCATTCTGTAAGAAAACAGGATTCCAACTCGAATCGAGAAATCATTCCAACGGTGAGTTGACATCAATTTTTATGGGTTTTTTTGTGTTTTTTTTCTTTTCTGCACAAGCCTTGGCTTTGAGATCTACTTCAAAGATTTTGTTCATCCTTTTCTCCTTCACAACAAGTTGATCCTTCACAACAAGTTCACAACACAGTGATGTCTTTACTAAAAATGCCAACTTTTGAAAGCTACTGTAATCCCTAGTTTTATCTAATCTATTTTGATCTGATTCTATTAGGGTGGTGCAAAAGAAGCTGCCGATTTGACGGTAAATTCAAAAAAAGATGGCGTTCTATGGTGGCATGATCACAATGGAATATTTTCGCAAGATCTCGAGCAAATCGGCATGGATCGGCCTGAATAACGTCCCTCAGCTTGGCTTCGTTCACGACTTCTGGCCTCGAACCGTACTCGTAATCTTCCAAAGTCTCGTCTCCCTCTCGGAATCGTTGAAACCAAGTCTGACACTGCCTGAGAGACAAACTGCCATCTCCGAAAGCAGCACAGAGAGAACGATGCGATTCGGCAGCAGACTTTCCAATCTTGAAGTTAAACAGTAATGCTGCTCGTAGCACAAACTTTTGCTTGACCATGATCTAAATAAAAAATATAAGCATTTTTAAATAAAATAAACAACAACCAAGAAATTCAAATGTCGAAATAAATAGCAAACAAATATGTGAAAAAAACATAAAAAACTAATGCCGTTAGCATCGCTCGTTTCTGATACCGTATTTCTTCGAATAGAAGACCGGGTAAAGAGTATGATCGTGTACTCCTGCGTAGCAGCCCTTTTTAAAATTTCTTTTCTGCATAAAAGCTTTCAATGAAGTGCTATAGGGCTGGAAAATGACTCAAAAAAATACCACAAGAGGAAATTTTTGAGCCATTTTCCAGCTCTATAGTACTTGATTGAAAGCTTTTATGCAGAAAAGAAATTTTAAAAAGGGCTGCTACGCAGGAGTACGCGATGATACTCTTTACCCGGTCTTCTATTCGAAGAAATACGGTAAATGACAGCTGATACCCATCGGCAGTTTCTTTTGCACCACCCTAATATGAGATATACCGAAAGAAAGAAATGAAAAGCAAAAAGCTTTGATCTGATTAGAGATAGCTTTTCAAAAGTTTAGTTTTAGAAAATTGATTTGAGAGATTCACTATTATGATAAAGTGTTAGATGTTAGATAAAAAGTTGGATTGATGTATTCAGAATGATCGTCTAAAACGATCAACAGCTGAGGAATTGGGAAAGAAAAGGAGACGTCGATTGAATCCACCACCAAATCTCCGTTTGCGATCACGAATGATGGCCGCGTTGAATAATCGAATTCACCGAAAAGAATCCACTCTCCAGAAATTGCCTTAATTCATTTATTTCTTTCACATTTTTTTATTTTCATCTTTGTGTTTAATAAACTTATTGAAAGGTTTATATAGCCCGAAAATGGAGATGATCAGAATGGAGAAGATCAAGATCAAGATCAAGAGAAAACGACAACAGAAATGATGACAACAAGTAGAGAAAAGATTCAATGAATGAGATTTGGGAAATGAGAAATCAAATAGGATTCGTTTTGCTGAAGAAGAGGAAACGAACGGGTCAAAATGGGGGGAAATGAGGTGGTGATCGTCTCATCCACCACACAAATGCCCAGGAAACATTTCGAGGTTCATTGGAAATTCATTGGAAATTCATTGGAAATTGAAAATTTGTAGATTTAAGATTTACATTAATCAATTGAATAAGAGAATTCGATCAGAAATTGAACTTTTTATTGTTTTTATTTTATTGCAGAGTCCCTTAGCTAGCTGTAAGCTGTCCAAAAATTGACGTGACTTTTGAAAGCTCAAGGTTTCAAGAAGAAACTACTCAAGTTTTCAAGAAGAAACTACTCAAGCTCAATGCAAACTACTCAAGATTTTATAGACTAAGAAGAATAATATGTTTAGGTCCCAAAAGCAAAGAACTATGGCCTTCAGACAGGTGTCCAAACGCATCTCATTGACTCAAATGTTTGTTCTCTTTGAATACTAAATTTGTTTTAAATACAGGCTTTCTAAAAAGTGATGAGTACTTAAATAATGATTGATTTAATCATTATTTAAGTACTCATCACTTTAACAGATTTGTTGATTTAACAGATTCATAGCTAAAACCGATTTATCTTTATAGAATGACTGACTATGAGTTTTTTTTAAAGATATTAATTACCAGGGAAAGATAATAGACAACGTCGTCGCGGTGCCGATTCGGATTCGTTCACCGAAGAGAAAGATTGCTCACTTAACACCGCAAAAGTAAGCAATTCTGTTTTCTTCTATAGTTAGAATGATTACTACAGAAAAAGTTATTAAAAAACAATAGAAAAAGATAAAAATATCCATCACAAGTGTACAAGTACAATGTACTTTAGTGTACAAGTGACTGAGGTGAAAAACGAGGCCGACGAGCGAATCTCTGTCCATTTTCAAGCATACCCATTTTCTGTTTAACTCAAAGAAAAGGATAAAATTTTATTCACCGAATCTTTTTTTGACTTTTTTTACACGTACGAACAAAACTCTATACACCGGAAGAAAGAAAAAAAAGAAAGAAACAGAAAGAATCACCTTTTGACTGAATAAAAAGATTTGATAATAATAAACATGCGTATGATACAAATTGAATTTATCATTGGGGAAAGTTAGTGTAAAATAGAAAAATGGATACGGTATTGGTTGAATAGTTGAATAGAAAGAAACAGAAAGAATCACTTTTTGACTGAATAAAAAGATTTGATAATACCGTATTTCTTCGAATAGAAGACCGGGTAAAGAGTATCATCGCGTACTCCTACGTAGCAGCCCTTTTTAAAATTTCTTTTCTGCATAAAAGCTTTCAATCAAGTGCTATAGAGCCGGAAAGTGGCTCAAAAATCTGTTAACTCATGTGGCATTTTTGAGTCATTTTCCAGCCCTATAGCACTTCATTGAAAGCTTTTATGCAGAAAAGAAATTTTAAAAAGGGCTGCTACGCAGGAGTACGCGATGATACTCTTTACCCGGTCTCCTATTCGAAGAAATACGGTAATAAACATGCGTATGATACAAATTGACTTTATCATTGGGAAAAGTTAGTGTAAAATAGAAAAATGGATACGGTAATTGGTTGAATAGTTTCTTTTGCACTAAAATTTTTGATGAGAAAGTCTAAAAACGAAAAAAAACTTGTGCAAGAACGAAGATCAACAAAATTTGGTTCACAAAACTTGAATCTAAGTGTTTGTTATGTGAAAACTTTCAAAAGTTTTACGTAGTAGGAAATAATTGATCGTAACTTTCTGGATCAAAACCGCCACGATCGAAAAATTGCAACATTCGCAGTTGCTCTCGTCCACGATGAGATGCCAACTGGAAAACGGGTTTTCATTGAATGTTTACCGTATTCTCTCTAATAGTAGTGCGCACTACTATTTTCACTTTTCTACTACTTTTTAACCCCCTCCTGGACCGCAATACTATTAGAGAGTGCACTACTATTAAAGAGTGCACTCTCTAATAGTATTAAAGAGTACTATTAAAGAGTGCACTATTATTAGAGAGAATACGGTATATATTTTTATTGACTTTAACATGCAAAATAGATTTGTTTTTTTGGAAATACTTTAAGCTAAAAACGATAAACACACCATTTCTAGAACACTCAATATTTTTTAGAGGTCGTTTGGTTTCAGAAATGGCATATCCCGTGCGGATTCGTTTACATTTTTATATCAAGAAGTTTAAAGTATATCAAGAAGTTGTAAAATTTGAACAATACAAATAAATGTATTCAACTCTTATTTTTGTACGCAAGAATTGTATAAAAGCCTAACAGCTTTAAAAAAAGCCTAACAGCTTTTTTTGTACTTACTGATAAAGTCCCACAAAACATCAACAGCTCGCCGATTCGTTGCGCCACATTTGGATTATTTTGCGAAATGTAGTGATGATGGAGACCCAGTAAAACCTGAAATTTATCGATTAACATTAGATTATTTGACTTGATTTTTAGTTAAAAGTTAGATATTTGTGAAAAAGCTCACCTCATCTCTCAATTTTTCGACCAAAATGCGTTCCTCCATTTCGAGAAAAGTCCCTTCTCGGGCTGAACAATGAATTAGAACTTTTCCTTGATATTCTCAATTACACAATAAACTGATCAACTTGATCGCAGCCACTTCAGTTGTTGATGGTTTAAGGCGATCAAGTGACGTCACGATCTCTTCTCTCAGCCAGCGGAATAACGGTTGAAGAAGACTGAAAAGGGAAGTTCATTTATTCAATAATTCTTGAAAAAAAAAACTATTCAGTTATTGTTTTGCAATGAAATAATATGTTGAAATTTGTAGTTGTTAAGAACTAGTTGTTAAGTTGTTCTAAACCCGAAATACCTGTG